ACTACTGACTGAGCAAAATGCTGGCTGCTACTGCTACCGCTGCTACTGTTACTAGTAACACAAACAAGCTGTCCAGAGAAGCGATCGCCTCTTCATGTCCATCTGCCAAGAACTTCACTCGAACCTCAGCCACTCGGCAGCCAGGCTGTTGGGTTCTTGCTCGGACCCATTGCTGTCTTTGGAATTTGAGGTTTGGGTTTCATGGTTTAGGAGTTTAGGGTTTGCGGTCTTCGCTTAGGGCTTGGGGTAGATTCACCTGCGGAACTTCGGTGCAGTTGTCCACCAGGCGCAGCGCCGTGCCGCCATAGGATTGCACGATGTAATCGGGGCCCAGCACTGTCAGGCCCTCCTGAATCAGATAATAATAATGTACAATCATAATAATAGTAATAATAATAGTAATAATAATAGTAATAATAACTGTAACAATAATAGTAATAATAATAATAGAGTTGGAACATGCAGTTGGCTTCAGGAGACATAGCTTCTCGGCTCTCCCCTGCCTGTGTAGCCGGGTACAAGCTGCGAACTTTGCTTGGCAGTGGATGCAACGGGGGCACCTGCAGTGGAACCTGGCAAAGAAGCAGCCAGAAAGATTTGAGATGCTCTGGAGAACATCTTCAATTCGCCGGCATGGCCAGCTCACCGGCGAAACTGAGCTGCCCTGTGATGTTGATCTTTATGGCGTCCTCCCACGGAGGTTTGAGGTCAAAGCTCGGGGATGGCAGCAGAGTCACAGACTGGTTTCTTGATGCCACAGACTGTCCATCAAACTTAGTACCGCGGCGGTGGCGGCGGTGGCGGCGGTGAGGTGGTGGCGGCGGTGGCGGTGGCGGTGGCAGTAAACTGGCATTGGCGGTGGCGGTGGCGGCGGTGGCGGCGGTGGTGGCGGTGGTGGCGGTGGTGGTGGCGGCGGTGGCGGTGGCGGGGGTGGGAGTGGTGGCGGTGGCGGCGGCGTTGGCGGTGGTGGCGATTGTGCTGTTAACCGTTCCCGGTAGAGGTACAGTAGGAGCAGTAGTAGTAGTAGTAGTAGCAGCAGCAGGAGGAGCAGTAGAAGTACAAGTAGAAGCAGAAGTGAACATGGAAGTAGTAGTAGTAGTAGTAGTAGTAGTAGTAGTAGTAGTAGTAGTAGTAGTAGTAGTAGTAGTAGTAGTATGTAGTAGTAGTAGTAGTAGTAGTAGTAGTAGTAGTAGTAGTAGTAGTAGTAGTAGTAGTAGCAGCAGCAGCAGTAGTAGTAGTAGTAGTAGTAGTAGTGGTAGGAGTAGTGGTAGTGGTAGTGGTAGTGGTAGTGGTAGTAGTAGTAGTAGTAGTAGTAGTAGTAGTAGTAGGAGTAGTAGTAGCAGCAGTGGCAGAGTCGTCTCAGTAGCAGTAGCAGCAGCAGGAGCAGGAGTAGTAGGAGCACAAGCAGCAGTAGCAGTGGTAGCAATATTAGCGGTAGGACTACCTAGCAGGATTGCGGTTTGGAACTTGGAGCCGTACAACAAACAGATTTTCCACTGGGTTCATCGAAATCCAAACAGGTTTGTCTTTCGCAGCTGTTCCAAGTCATACTTATCATGCTCCACCCCCGCATCAACACGGTCCCCCTGCACGATGAGCATGGGATCGACGTTGGACACAATCTGCCAATGTTCAGCGAAAGTGTAAGGCTGAGGAACACCATGCCGGAAGACCTTTCAAAACTCAGCTGTGGTCCATGTCTCCATGTGCACACGAACCTTGACCTCAACACTAAATCCTAAAACCAGTTCCATGCCAAAGCCACTGGGATGTTCTTGTAGGTCAACTGCACAGCAGAACCTGTGCTCGCTGAGAGCCCCCTTAAGCAGTCAGATCGTCCCAGGAATCCGCTGCAGGACTGGCTAATAAGTCTTGAAGTTGCAGGGGGAGTATGTCGCAAGGCAAGATCCAGGCAAGATCCGTGCACAGCAGACTTCGCTTACTGTTGCGCAGTTTCAATACAGTATGGGCTAGGGCCACGGCTGAGCCAGAATCGACCACCGTCCAGCGAGACTTCAAGAAAGAAAGCCTCGCACCAAGCGTGAGCATACTTCTGCTGCTGGGTGACGTGGGGCCATCAACGGATAGAAGACAACACAACGATAGGTCAAATCAAAACGACTATGCAAAGAAACACGCTACCTCGCTGGGAATGCTTGCTGCCCGTTGGGGCGGCTGTGGCCTCGGGACCGAGTTAAAGCAAGGGCTTCGGGGGAGGGATGGGAGGGGTGCTAGCGGCTTTGGGGGCTTCGGGGGTTAACTAAGGCTTAGATCTTTAGAGACTAGGGGTTGGGGGAAAAGGCGTAGGGTCTTCGGGCTGCGGTCCTGAAGGAGTTTGGCCGGGCTAGGGCTCAGTGCTTCTACAGGATGTTCTGGGAACTTTGGGATTGGGAACTTAGGGCTTCAAGCTGAATGGGATGTCGGGCATCGGATTTTCATTGCACTTGCATGGCCCCCGGCGGTACGAAGGACAAGGTCGAGTCGTTGTGCACCTGCAGACACGGAACTTGTGCTTCAAACTCAAGCTCATACGTGGGACTCGAGAGCTTTTCATCCAAAGCCCAGCATGTCGTCAGGCAACGTCCTCGGAAAAAGACGCTATGCAGCATTGCAAATTGTAGCTCCGGGTATAGGCCCACGAGGTTGCATCCGGAAGGTTGCATGATGCGGCAATTCCTACACTGCAAACATCGGAGGAGGAGGAGGAGGAGGAGCAGGAGGACCTACTCCTGTGCCGCGACGCTATCGTTCGCCCTACTATACGTTGCTCACGGGGCCATGGCTGACCACTACTCGAAACCCGCGACTGGGTTCTTACTACTGTTAACTACCGCCATACATACAACGGTGAGGATGACCCCAGTCTATCTGCTAACACTGCTTTCGGCATATTCTTTTCATGGCAGTTGTTGCACTCTACTTGGCAGCACTACTATCACTCGTGAACATAGCAATTTGACCACCTACTGCTACTACTTACTGTTTCCATGCAAGATTCGAACACTGACCGGAGCTTGCACGCTGTTGAAATTGCCAGCTCACCCACTAGCGGCGGTTTTCTACTGCGGTCTTCTGCAGCTACTGCCGACCCCGTAATCAGCGGGGCACCTGGAGACCAGTAGCTAATCGGCCGGCCATGCGCAGCCGCAATTCTGGTAGGCCGAGGAAGCCTGCTTTGGCTTGCGGCTCGGGGCGCGTCGGGTACAGAGAGCAGGGGCTCAGGGTCTCTTGTAGCGGGAGTTAGGAGTTGTGGGGCTTCGAACAGTCCAGGTTTGCGCTGCCTTTGTTTGAGGACGGCAGCTCAAGTTAAGCGATGAACCCTTAGTACAAGTTACCTGGGCCACAGTGCTGCCTCTCGTTTGTACTAGGAGGCAGGGGTTAGCAAGCCGAATGGCGGGTGTTTGCTCAAGCGGGATCAAGCGGTCAAAGGCTTCCGAAGGTTGGCCTGCACCAAATGCAGTGATGCGAGCTGGCCGCAGCGCATCAACGATCACCTGCTCAAGGCAAGGAGTGCGATGCCAGGCAGCATCGAAACAAGAAGACGATTCGCGTGATAAACCGCCTCCAGTGGCCAAATTCGCCGGATGGTCGGCGCAATTACGAGCTGGATCATGTGGCCTGCTCGGTGCAAGACTGAGCTACATCCGTGACTGCCAGAAGAACCTTTTCAAATGCCATTTCCGGTGCCCTTTCAGCATGCCTTCCGAGGGAAACTGCTTGCAATTGGGCGAGTAGGTGACGAAGAGCTTTCGGCCGATCATCTCCTTGGGTTTTGGGGCTTTAGGGGGTTAGGGTTTATGCAGGGTTTAGGGGCTTAGGGTTTTAGAGTTTAGGGTTTATGATTTGAAGGTTTCGGGTTTAGGGTTTACGGTTTTAGGGTTTCGGGTTTAGGGTTTAGAGTTTTCGGGCTTCGTTTTACGGTTTCGAGTTTAGGGTTTAGGGTTTTAGGGCTTCGGGTTTATGTGTTGAGATGCTTAGGGGTTTTAAAGGTTTAGGGCTTCGTGTTTGGGGTTTAAGGATTTTGGGATTAGGGTTTTGGGATTCGGGTTTGGGGGGGGGGCTTTGAAGGCTCAGGGCTGTTAGGGTATGGAGTTTGGGGAAGGGAACGCTGCTGATGTAGTTAGAGCAGCCGGAGCCGTCGATGCAGTCGTAACAAGTCGCAGCTCAATGGTGGCTCAAGAAACACTACAATGAGTACACACTCTTTGCAGCGGTGGTGATGATGGTGGCTGTCATACTCACAGGGCTAGTGGTATTTCGGCCACGTATAGTCCTTATGAAAACATGCTATTGACACCGCCAAAGCAACTGCGCCATCACGGCTGCTTCTTCTGCTAGTACGACTATATCGTGACCAAACTTATTTTTGTCGTCACTAAAGTAGTTGCTTTGTCATGACGAACGCTGCTGATGTTGAGATGGTACTGTTCTGTGACTGCCTGGTTCATCCGCATGAGTCCACGATCTGAGCCCCAAACCACAACATCCGGCGGCAAGTCGCACCGCGCCGTGAAAGGGCCTGCTGGTTTCTTGAGGAGCTTGGCAACGCGATCTGTGACGTACTATATCACATACAGCAGATACAGAAAAGACATATCAGGCGGTTGATGCTGCACAAAATATCAACCTTAAGCAGTCTATCGAAAGAAAGATAAACTCAAAAACAGAACTTCGTTCCAACGAAGTTTAACAACTAAAACAACACCCGATCATCTCCAAACCCCCTCTAAACTACTAAACCCGAATCCAAATCCTGAAACGCTGCGGTCATAGAAGGTGCAGCCGAGACCCGTAAACTGCTAAAATTCGCCGTCTTACACGTCCTTCTCGGGGCTTGAACACTGAAGATGCCAAAACACAAACACCAGCAACAACAAAACTAAAGGCCTGAACCGAAAAAGACCGCAAATCTAGTTCTGCAAGTGTGGACCCCTAAACAGTGATTTCACAACATGTACCTGCCGAAGATGGGAGCACCGTCACTACTACGACCACGACGATCACGACCATCAGCACGACCCCCAGGACAGGGCCAGACTCGACGACCAATACCACAGGCACGACGACCAGGACCACGAGGACCACGAGGACCACCACGACAGCCGCCACGACCACTACGCCCAAGACAACCAGGATCACCAGGACCACCGCGAGCTTTTCGAAGGCGAACATGAAGCGAATGTATTGAAATTTACAATGAACCATGCGTCCCTGATGGGGCCCAAGCGGGACCGTGGAAATGTCGCCCAAAAATGTGCACCGCAGCAGCAGATTTTGCGGAAAGGCTGGATGTGCTTGCGGCACTGACATAGTGTCACCACACTTCTTTTGCATAAGTATACTACAAAATATCCTAAACCCTATTCTAACTGTCCAGGCTGTTTGAAGAAAGCCCGAAACCCCAAACCCACCTTCCGGCTGCGCGGGCAAAAGCCAACTCTTTGGAGGAGCCTGGGCAGGACCCCTCAAAGGCTTGTGGGAAGCGGGGTCCAGGATTCATTGGTCATCGTCGTGTCTGTAGAGCTATGAAGCTATGTGCATGTTTTTCCTATCTATCTATTCTTTTAAATGGCTCTATAGATATATCGGAAGAGCTTCAAAGCCTCATTCGCAGTGTGTTCGATATTGACTGTCTACCTGCTGGGCACACAGACGCCTACGCAGAACCCAGCAGGGACTGAGCTATGGGCCGTTAACCGTACAACCACAGAACCAAAGCCCTTGAACCCCAGAACCCTACTTGGAGGTTCATGGGTAGTTCTAAGTGGAGTTATAAGTAGGGTATCTGCAATTATAACCCATATTAGGGGACTTATAACTCCACTTATAACTACCCATGAACCTCCAAGTAGAGGCAGCATCAGCTGACGCTTCTCGGGGCCGCACCCCAGCGATGCGGTACAGGAAAGTTGGCCGTGTCAGAACCTGGTCGGGCACTCGGATCACCCTTTGTGTTCAGGTGTTGGAAGCGTTAATAATGGGTGATGAGAAATCTAAATTTCTGAGGCTTCAAGGTTTAGGAGCGCTTCAGGTTCGGGCAGTGGGTTTTCGGCTTGTACTGGTTTAAGACTTCGGGGTTTAGGACCCTAAGCCTTGAAGCCCAAGGCAGGCTATAGACGCATAGGATCAGAGTTTGAGTGAAACCCAGGAAGTGTTGGCAAAGACGAACCAGCACAGCTGCAATGATGCACTGGGTGATTGTGACACATTGGATATCAGGGAAACCTTGCCTTCAGGCGATCCTCTTTGACGGTTCCGGCTGCTTGATCCTTGGAGGAATGATCACAGACATCAACATGGCAAGAACAGCATTCCTGGTCGTAGCAGTGCCACGAGAACAATGGCGACTACAACCATATCAACTGCCGTGGCATTGAACGTGGCGTAGCAGAATGCTCGGCACTAACTTCGAAATCCTGAGAGTACGAACAAGTGATGCGGCAAGGAAGGGTGAGACTTGGACTTGGAACGAAGAGCGGAAGGATGCTGAGACACCGGCAGTGGAGGCGGTGCAGCAGCCGTCCAAGGCCGTGTTGATACCTCAACCGGTTTGTTCAACAATTCCTGAAACATTGCCCTCTGCTGACACCCGCTAGCCCAAGGCTTACGCATTGTCAGGTGGAATGCGCAAGAGCACTGAGCATCGCCTCGGCGAACCTCAAGAAGACTACTTATCCTCAAAGCAATGATAATGACAAGCCCAAAGCCCTGCTTCAGCACCTCAAGCCCTACCGACAACGAACCTTCAAACAAAACTAACTCAAAGCCTTGGACCCCGCAAAACACCTGGTCCGCAGGCTACCTGTCGTGGTAAGCTTATGAACCTCCTGCGATTTCTGAGCGCACCGGTGCCAGTCACCCGAATAGGCGGCAGCGGCGTGCCTGTTGTGAGGCAGCTCCTTCGTTTCTTGAAGCTTCTCACCTGCCTATGGCTCCGAGGGTTGATTGCGAAGCTTCGGCTGTTACTGCGAGTGCTGATTGTCGCCACCACCGGCATTACCACTCCCGTCAAGACTGCAATTGAAACTCCCATCAGCGCAATGACTATCGCACAACTACTACTACCACGGCTACTTCTGTGAGTAGTAGCAGCATACCATGGAAGGCATTGGGCGGCTAGTGCTCCAATGCGCAGCCCTTGCAACCTCAACGCCACTTCCCTCAAGAGTCTGCCAAACCTTTCAAACAGTCGACGAGAAGGCCAATCCCTTCCCCAAACCAAAGCCCCGGCCCACTTACCCAAAGCCCCGATCTCCAAAAAAATGAAACACCGCAAAACCCAATGAAATGCGGGGCCTGGCCCAACCTGCACATAGCGTGGCTCCACCTGGAATCAAGGGGCTGCGGCATGAGGCTTGCGGCATTGTCGAGCTCCGGTTTAGGGCTTGGGGCTTGAGGGTTCTGGGGGCTCGGGGCTCAGATGGTCGCCAGGGTGTAGGCCTTTGGTACCAGGGCCTGGCGTAGAGGGTTTGGTACTGTGGGGTTGATGGGTGTTGACTTAGCTCACTCCCTGCCCTGCCGCTGACAAGGCTCCAGGCGTAATACTACTTATACGAATGGTAGTAATGAGAGTACTACTCGTAGTAATGGCAGCTCTATCAGTGATAAGAATATAAAGTAGGGCTTAGGGCTTTCGTCCGGGGGAAGCCTTGGGTTACAATTGATTTGGGCTTTGATAGCCTTATGTAGGGTTTAGGGTGTAGAGTTTGGCGGTTTATCACAAGCCTACTGCGTGGGCAGCATGAACTCAGGCTTCCGCCCTCACAACATGTGGCTCTCGAACAAGCGGGAGGTACACGTAGTTGGACAGCACCTGGACAACAGAGCATGTCACGCTGACGCAAAACTGACATAAGGGCCAAGATTCCACTCTACATGAGACAGGGATGCTTCAGGCTCCCATGGTCGCCATTGCCAAGTCCGAAGCCCCAAACGCTCCCTAAGGGTCCATCACTGAAGGTGGTGACCCTGGGAAAAGTCTCCAGGCTGTGTGCCCTGTGCCTGCGGCACGGCCGACAGCGTAACGAGATCGATGGCCAGCTGAGAGCGTCTATCGAAGAAGTGGCCAGTGCCCACCTGCAGAGGCGCAGGGCAGCGTAAGACCAACACACGGGCTGGAATATTTATTAAGACTAGTCCCTCACAGACCTTCTCACCATGATCCATTATGTAACAATTCTGATCACTCAGGCCCTTCAATTCGGGCTGCAGGCTTTCAGGGAGTGGCCGGCGGGATGCACTCAAACACTGAGGTGTTGATCCATGAGACCCATTTGCCAAGGCTCGACAGCCTAAACCTCAACCCCGAACCCCAAACATAAGCCCTTAACCACCGAGAACCCTTAACTTCATACTTTCAACCCTTAAGGCTCTAAAGCCAAAGAGGCCAAAACCATGAAGCCTGAACTAAAGCTTTCTTGGAGTTTCGGTCCTGGCCTTGGTGTTTCGGGCTTTGGTTCTGCTCTCGAGGTTGGGGGGTAGTTTTATGATTTTCGAATAGGTTTGCTGGCAGCGAGATAGGGAGGGCCAAGGAAAGAAAGTTCTGAAAGCACAAAAAACTGGAAACCGATTTTTGAGCTGGCTCTGTTCTAGTCTTCCTTCAGACGATCGTACGCCCAGCTTAGTTAAATCGATGTTCAATGAACAGCCTGTCTGCAAGGCATCTCCTGGCAGTGAATGGTAAGCCTGAAGTTCCATCGGCCCGTGTGTCCCCCAAAGACGGGCACTACACCCTAACTGGGTGGTTGTCAAAATTATGGTCCCTTTTCGGATCCCTCTTCTCTAATACGGCACCTATGAATTTGGGGTACCCAAACAGGGACCATAATTTTGACAACTACCCAACTGCAAACCTCAACGGTTAGATAGGGGAAAGAGCCTGTAGTGCTCTTGATACTCGTTCCTTTTTCTCGTTAAACACGACCCAGGATGTTCGTGAAGTTCTGCCTTGTAACCCTTGCAACGCCACAACCCTGACCACAACAGGGACCTATCCTGAAAATGACGCTCTGCTACGCCACTGCAGATCCGAAAGCCCCACCGGCAGCGTCTCGTTGTGCAAAGCCAAGCCATGATCCACCCAGCGGCGGTGTGCTCCCACGCACTCCACTTGACCAGGCCTTGGCTTGATTTAGGCTCCCTTGGGTTGAGGGTGTCAGGTCTGGGGTGTATGGGGATTTAGGGTTTAGGTTTGGGGTGGGTGGGGTGCAAGTAGACATGTGCAAACGGTTGCCGTCCTGAAAAGGGCACAAAGTAAACGCTGCAGGAGTGATGAGAGCACTGGCGCAGTTTGCCATTGCCTAGGCCAGAAAGCCGGAGCCAGGAAAACAAGCGTTAAAGCCCTAAGCAATAAAGCCTAATAGTGAAAGCCGAAAACTCCTTCCTGATTAGTTCATTTTCTTGTACTTTGAAAAATATTAGTGTTACGCATACCCTTCATACTGCTAGTGCTAATTGCTAGCGGCAAAACCGGCGACGATGTCTATGGTTCGCCGACAGTTTAGCATGCAACAATCGCTGCTACCGAACTGAAGCTGTTGGTGCACCCTCAGCCCCAAAAAGCTCACTGAAACCCTGTGCCCTGTACGCCGCATATCCTGCACGACGAACCCCAAACCCTGCTCCCAGCTCCACCAGTACCTAAGATAGGAATAGAACCAAGGATGACAACACCTCAAACACTAAAACCGGCCCCCCGAGCCTCAGAGTAGACCCTTGATCATAATCCTCCGAGCTCGGGGAGTGGCTTCAGAAACTTCACAGGCGTAGTAACCACCTGAGCTGGATTCGGGTGCAAGGACTAGCCATGGGCCTGCAATATTTTAGCTCAAGGCCTTTAGAGCTTCAGGGTCTTCGGGCTTTTCGGCTTGGGCTTTAGTCGTTGCTGGGCTTTGGATACTTGGAGATTCATGGTTAGTTATAAGTGGAGTCATAAGTAGGATATCTACAAGTATAACCCATAATAGGGAACTTATAACTCCACTTATAACTACCCATGAACCCCCAAGCAGGGTTCAAGAGCTTCTGGAGCGAAGACTGGGGACTGGCCTGTTGCCAGCTGGCCCCACGTGGCTGGTACCTCAGCCAGACGGCGGGCTTCCAGGTACAATATATGTATATGTGTGCGTATATAGACATATATACATATATATGTATATATATATATATAGGTGTGTGTGTGTGTGCATAGTATCGAATATAATGTATGTATGTGTATATACATATATACATATATATATATATATATATATATACATTTATGTATATATATGTATATATATATATATATATGTACATGCGTGTGTGCGCGTGTACTTATTTGTGTGCCTATTTTCTATGTATCTATGAACCTATCTATGTATTTATCTATGTGGTTATCTATATCGTCCATTTACCTTTTCATCTACTTACCGACTTATCCATAAATCTACTTGTTGATTCATTTAGTATTTAGTTATCTTGATAACGATAGCATCTGACATCTTGCCTTTCATAAGGTCTACTCAGCTCCGATTTTCAAGGCACGAAACGGAAGCCGTATTTATAACATCACAGCTCTCCTGAGCTTCCGGCAGAGGCATGAGTGAGAGCCTCAGCCGTGGCAGCCGACGACAACCGAAGATTCCAACAAAAGCCATGCCCAGTGTGTGCCAAACAAGGGTTACACACTGAACACTACCATAGATGGCCTAGTCGTGTTCTAAAACAAACCTCAGCTGTGAAACCCCAGACACGACACCAACATCAGCATCAGGACACAGGCCTGCAGGCCACCAAATGCTCGATCTGCATGCTGTTCCAGAGTGTCTCCTTCAGACGGGACGGGACCGTAACAAGTTCGCAATCGAAAACAGCAGAAGCAATTGATTTGTGTTGCTTTGTAAAGCAAGTCCATTCCATTTATGGTGATGCACCGCCCCCTCCCCCCAAACCAATGCCACTTGTCACATTCCCCCATGCAACAAGTGTGCCAGACTCTCTCCAAGGATCCACAAGAAGCAGGATGAGTATCCGTATCAAACTTCTAAAGGTCCTCTACTCCTGTAGCAGTACTAGTCGAACAGACGGAAGTGGTGCCAGCAATGGCAAACGTCACGAAGGAGAGTAGCAGCAACAGCGGCGAGCCGACTGTGCCTCGAAGGCCGTGGTGAAGTCGAAAGACACCTCCACCGAGACCTGGATAAGGCTTTACAGTTAGGGTCCAACGTTTCGGCTCTGGCTTTCCGATTGGGGCCCAGGTCTTCGAGTCTGCTCCCAAGCATGGAATAGTTTGCCGGTCTGCTTTTTGCATATCTCCCTCTTCCCAAAACCCTAAACCCTAAGCCCCAACATCCTAAACCCTAAACCGTTCGCTGCCTCATCCTCGGTCCTTTTCAGTGGATGTGAGAGCCTGTAGCTTTCCACTCCCAGCCTCAGAGAAAAGGCGCAAAGCCATGGCTCTTGACCCGCTGCGATCCAGATTCTACTTGTAGAGCTGCACCCGAACACAATATGCAATAATGTGAAAAATAAACTACACCACCGAAGACCCCCGACAGATATGTATATATATATATATATACGGGCATTGCAGAAGTTCGTGAGTCCATTTCGAACATCCTTGTCTTGCTTGGTTGAAAAATGCTAACCCAAACCTTCAAATTGCTTTTTTATGTTTTAGCCCAAAAACCCTGCAAAACGTGCTTTTGCAGCCTCCAAAAACATGTTGAGAACTGCTATTTTGCAAACAAACCAAAAAGGCATTTACAGACCCTGGTTCGGTTGTTTGAGTGAGGAATGCCCAACCCTGAGCCCTAGAAGTTCCAGTTAGGGTTGCAACCAAACGAAACCATGCAAAACGCGCTTTCGGAGGCTGCAAGAGCATGCGTTGACTGGGTTTTGGCAGCAGAAACATATCCAAAAGGGACTTAGAACCCTTTGTGTGGTTGTTTGAGTAGTGCCAGCCCTAAACTCTAAAATTGACTATTTTTACGGTTCTAAACAAGCAAAACCATTCACAACATGCTTTTGCAGCCTCCAAAAGCACGTTTAGAATGGTTTTTCGCAGCGAACAAACGTTTGAGAAGTGCCAACCCTAAGCCCTAAAATTGTCTATGTTAACGGCTTTAAACAAACAAAACCAATCAAAACGTGAATGGTTTCTCGCAGCGAACAAGCGTTTGAGAAGTGCCAGCCCTAAAGCCTAAAACTGTTATCTTTCAGGTTTTAAACAAACCACCCACACCCCAGACAGGGATACAAGAGAGACACAGGGAGACAAAGAGAGACATGGAGCCCAGGAACCCGGCATTGGCCACCCACAGATAGAGAGGGTTTAGGGTTTAGGGTTTAGGGTTTAGGGTTGATATATGAAGGAAGACAAAGGGAGACAAAGGGAGACAAAGGGAGACAAAGGGAGCCCAGGAACCCGGCAACGGCTACCGACAACCCGGCAATTCCTTTCTGAGCAATTGAGAACCCCTACAGTAAACTGCTTGGGGAAATATTCAATTACACAAATATATATATATATATATATTTATTTATTTATTTATATTATATATATATACATACATACGAGTAAATAACATATAGCACATAACAACACGTAAAACATAACATATTGTACATGCGAGTAACCATGATCGCTCAAACATGGTATCCGCCGACCTGCAACCTCAAATTGAGTTCCTTAGCCCCTAAACCCTGATAGAACCCTTAACTGAACCCTTATAGAACCCTTATAGAACCGTAAACTGAACCCTCATAGAATCCTTTTTGAACCCTTATAGAACCCTGAACAGAACCCGTATAAAACCCTTATAGAACCCTAAACTGATCCCTACTTCGCATTGCAGCGAGGGTCGGCTCTCGGTCGTACTTCAACACCAGCCGGCTCGGCGCGACGGCCTCACATGGCCGAGCCGAAGAAATTTGGAAGGCAGCCCTTGTTGTTACGATTATTAGGATTATTGTACTGTTACAATTATTAGTATTACTGTACTGTTACAATTATTAGTATTATTGTATTATCAGTCTTATTTGTATGATCTGTATCAGCTGTATTGTTTGTATTATTTGCATCATTCGTATTATGTGCATGATCTGTATTATCTGTATTATTGTTATTATTAGTACTATTACTATGAGTATCAGTGTTACTATCGTTATTCTTGTTTTTTCACAACCCTCTTGTCGTCGAAAGCAACCCTTCTGGTGCGAAACTTCAGGAAAGCCAGAGCAACACATGCCAGCGCAAGAATAAGGCCCTAAACCTTGTAAACCTGCACCTCCCCAAACCCGGAAGCCGGCCTGCAGAGATACCAGGGGCAGCACCGAGACTTGCACAGGCTCTTCCTTGGATATCCAACAGGGAAGCTTAGCGCTTGGCATTTAGGGTCAAGCAGCTAAGTCTAGCATTTGGGTGGGGGGGGGGGGGCAGGGGGGGCAGGGGAGGGGGGCAGGGTTTAGGCTTACGAGCTTGCAAGCTTCGCAATGTCATTGCTGGCTCATGCTCAAGATAGATATCAACAGCAAGTCTTAGCTGCCGCTGTGGAGCTAGAGAAGCTCAGAAGAATGACGGCTCAAGGTTCCCGAGGGGGAAACCCAAACGACGTGCAAAACATACCCATCGTCATGAACTTGAGGCAAAGGACGAAGGACGGTAACGATGTGTAAAGGTTAACTTCGATGGCAATCACTAGGACAACAACTTAAGCCTCATAATCGGTATCTCAACAATACAAGCATTCGCAGTTGCAGCAGCAGCACCACCACCACCACCACCACCAATAACAACAATGCACACAAATGAAAACAAAAGCAAAGAGAACAACAATGGCGGTCACGACTACGATGAGAATGGCGATGTTGCCATGATGCTTGCTGAAGACGGCGGAACATTCATCAGGATTCTACCCTAATCATCACAGCTAAGTCCTGAAGTCTAAACTGCTAAACAACTGCTGAACTCCAGAACACCGGATCCCTAAACCCTAAATCCGATCCGCATTGGAGCTCTCCCTGGCACTCTCAGCGATCCGCCAGGATCGGGGCAGCGGGCCCAAAGCCACCCGTCAGACGCTGTAGAAAGTCCTGTTTGAAGGTCAGGTGATTGGGGATTGGAGGGCTGAGGAATTAAAGAAGTAGGGCTTCGGTAGCGGGACTGTACAGGTTCAAGCGTTTAGGAGGTTAGCGGTCTACTGGATGTAGAGTTTAAGGCTTGGGGGTTTAGCTCAGAACCTAAGATTTCGTGTCTCAATCGCTCCGGTGGCTGAAAACATTCCGACCACTCCAACGTCGGCAAGCAGCCAGCCTGGTAACCGAATTGCGGCAGCGGCACCTGGCCATCAAACACTTGCACACCACTGCCTCCCGAGCCCTTCACACGTGATGCTGATGACGATGATGATGATGATGATGATGAATCATGATGATGATGGTGGCGGCGGTGATGGCGGTGGTGATGGTGATGGTAATGGTGATGATGGCGATGGTGATGGTGATGGTGATGGTGATGGTGACGGTGATGGTGATGGTGATGGTGATGGTGATGGTGGTGATAATGATGATGGCGATGGCGATGGTGATGGTGCTTTGATGGTGGTGATGGTGATGATGGCATCATCATCACCATCACCGCCATCATCATCACCGTCAGCATTATCATCACCAACATCATCAAAATGTCGTCGCAAGTGAGCGAGACGAAGGACAAGCATCACCGTCACGATAACAGCAACGACGACGACAACGACAACAGCAGCCACTGCAACGACAACGACAACGACCACGACGACGACGACAAACAGTCGGTGTTGCAGGGTGCGTATGCAGCAATGCAGATCGCTGGTAACAGTAACCCCCATACCGAAGACCAGACCCCTCGAAGAAATCCTTTAACTCCTTTAAGGCTTAAAGCCAAAAAGTGACGCCGTAAACCCCAGACACTAGACACGACAAGCCCCTGTACCCAAAGAGCAGCGGGCGCCTCGCCCTGAACCAAGGAGACGTGTGTGGCAGACCATGAGGTCACCTGGCTGAGGAAAGCAGAACGGTTCTCGAAACCAACGGCACTCGAATAGGGGTTGGGGGTCTCATCGGTGTACTGAGGGTTCAACCAAAAGCAATAGACAATCGCATTGGTAGTTCTTCCGGATCACACCATGCTGCACTGCAGAACTTGCCAGGAGCACCGCTTGTGGCTCCGGTGATGTGCAGAGAGCCAGGGATCGGTTCAACACCTACGAAGCACAGCAAGTGCCTGCCTGCCCCAAGCCAGACCTCACCATGAGCACGGTTCCCTGATAAGTTCCGGGTGTTCTGGATTTCTGCGCGTCGGAAGATGTCTAAGCACCTTAGGTGCACTTCTAAAATTCAGCACGCGCACCTACCCCCCGCTTCTCTGGAGAGAGCGTCTGCACTCGTGGCAGGCTAGCGGAGGAATCCACAGTAGGCCAAGTACCGTTGGCTAAGCAATGAGAGCTGGAAATCGCTCCTTCTCAGCAGTTGGCTCCTGAGCTACAAGGGGGAAAATCCGAGGCTCGCGGCTGAGTCAAAACTCCTTAGTCGCCCAGCAGGGTGCGTCCTCTCAAAGGGCCGTGCAACGAATTCCGGCCACGAATGCATCTCGAAAGCTACAGACTTGCGATCTATACAGGTTCAGCAGCCCATGGCTTGCGTGACAGCATCTGTATGCGGAAACTGCACCTCAGTCATAGAGGAGATTCAGACTTCAGTCGATACAGATCTTATGTGTCGCTGGGGGCCTGGCTCTTTCTGCATGTTTCTCGCTGGCCAGGGTCGCTTCATTTGAAGCACTCGATCAAGTGATCAAGCAAAAGTGATGAGGTAGGCTGGGAGAGCGCTACCTGCCAAGACTTCAAAGCACTGGGTTACTAGTACCTGTGGAAACGGGTAACCGTTGCCTGGGTGCTGGACGATGAAGATCTCGGGGCCTCTTTCAAGACTCGCCGAAGCATTGTGAACGGAAGAGCAATCGCAAACCCACTCCGCGTAGGCTTTCGGCTGGAGAGGCTGTCCACAGAGCAGTTGTAGCGATGAGGCTTGTTCCGGAAAGGTAGGACCTGAGTAGCAAAGGCATCGGGCACGCTGAAGGTCTCGGATGGGCTGTGTCCAAACGTGTCCACACCAGAAGGGGCCTCACTGCAGTGACTTTCTCCTTCTTCCGAACGTGCTCACACTCTAAGTCCCTGTCCCAGAATTGAGTTCCTGCAACCCCTTGGGCAGCGACTCCCTTGTGATCAGGATCACCCAAGCAAGGAACTCCCGTCATCAGGAGACACCTTTCGGGGGCGGAAGCCGACAAGCTACCAGCATCTGGGTATCTCGACATGAGGGGAAGGTGGAAGCTACATCGCACCTCGCTCTCTCGCTCTGACTCTCTCTCTCTCTCTCGTTGCTTTGCTTGGGGCTTGGGACGGGAGCAGTCCTCCTCTCTCTACAGCCATCGCATCCATGCGCAATTTCTGAGGCTGCTTCTATCTGCATGCCGCATGAACTCTGGCTAGGTCCCTGGCACCAACATCTGACGGGTTCCGTCAGCAGCAGGCTGTCCACAGAAACCCCCATCGGCCACGTACCTGTCACAGCTGGGACTTGAAGCTTGAAGCGAAAGAGCAGGGAACAGGGATCCGACATGTCTGCTCCTTTCGGAACCTAAAGCCTGCAAATCAGGTCTTCGGTAGCTTCCAAGCGGAGTTCAGGGGAGGATCACTTCGCATCCCGCGCGAAGTAGGTGCCGGAGCCCCATACATTGGCACCTCGGGTGCCTCCGGCAGCTCTGGTTCGCAAAGAACTGCACCGGCAAGACCCTAAACCCTAAAGCCTAGGCCCTCGACCCTACACCCTGATCGCCAAACAGCTAGACAGGGTACTCCCAAGCAGCCTGCTAAGGCCACGAAAACTGCGAGAAGAAATCAAACCTTCAGAACTCTGTAGGGAAGCGAAGCTGAATGGTGGCAGAGTCCAGCTTGGCTCTGAATTTGGGCGACGAGGTTGAGAAGAAATGATGCAGCAAGTTCACCATTCAGGCTGTCTCATCACGTTACACAAGCCTTCTTTGAGGGAGTCAGTAAGGCACAAGCCTTTAGAGCTCAGGGTGAGGGTCGATAGGGTCAGGGCTTCCGCTTCCTTTCATAACCCAATCCTCAAGCATCGATAAGCGCCTGATGCCAGGGGCTGGAAGCCAGCGACTGTGTTGCTGACGATGGACCTCCGGCTGCTGAGGTGCACCAGGAACTCACTTCGCGAACAGAGCTGGGGGAGGTCGAAACTAGGGGCCCATAGTGACGCGATGGTAGCCCACAAGAGATCCTCAGAATGGGATCAGGAGGGAAGCTGGGAGGAGTCTTGCAGAATCGCCGGAAACACCAAAGCTCTAGAGTGCTCGCATTTTTCCCTGAGAGATGCATAGCTCAAGCTCTCCTTCACAGGGTTTCCGCGTTTTCGTCCAAAAAGACGGCCTTCTCGTAGAAGACGCAGCGGCCCCTCTCGCATGGGTCGGTGATGTTGTCGAGGTAGCCCCAGCCATACCCGGCATACTTAGTCTGGAAGACCGCGGATATGAAGGGCTTTATGCCGAAGGGCTCCAACTCGTAGCTGCCCTCGAAGGTCTTTTCGTTTTCGGGCTGCAAGCCACGGCGCAACTCCTTCTTGTCCTCGCTCAACTGGTACCGCACATACCGCTGGTTGGCCCACTCCAGGAAAGCCGTGTTGGAGATAGGGACCTGCTTTGCGGCGAGGCGCAAAAGGAGTGTCTTGTCCTGCACCACAGTGAACACCTTGCCGTCCCTCTCCTCCGTCTGGTTTGCTGCGATGGTACCGCACATGGTCCCAAGCTGGGACTTCTTGCAGCCACTGGTCATGATGGTGCCGCTGATCGAACTGTCGAAATCTGCCGAGAGGATCACGTAGCCCTTCTCGCCGGGGGGTTGGGAATTCTTTAGCTTCACGTAGGCAGAGATGCGCATGCACCAACTGCTCATAAGGCTCGGCACAACCCCGAACATCTCCAGCTTGGAGATATAGAACTGGGATACCTGGATGTACGCTTTGCCGTCATAGACGTCCGGCTCCAGCCTTTCCCCAAGCACTTTTTGCATATCCTCGGGTTCCATCGGGAAGTGCACGCTGATCAGGGGCGTCTCTGTCTCACGCACGGTCATGCCAGAAGAAAGTGCTGCAGAGTTTGCGAGGGAATTCCGCGCCGCACCGCCTTCAAGAGTGTCCACAGTGCGTACCCCCTGCGTGCCGACCAAACACTGGAGGAGCAGCGTGATGCAAAACGAAAACGACGAGGCCATCGACATGAAAGCAAAGGATTTGATAGATGCTGTGTGAAGCTGCACGAAGCGTCACGAAGCTTAAGCTTGAGCCCAACCCGAGACCCCACAGCTGAGTTTGAGAAACCCAGGGAGGGCGAGTGCTCTCTGAGACTCCAACTCGATAGCCTCACTCCGAGCACCATGGAAGGCCCAACACCTGTGCTTGACGGACAACTGTTCAGTTTAAACGGCTCAGGATGTGCCCGTGATGCTTTTGCTGCTGATGCTGCCACGACTGCCACGATCAGCTCTACCATCATAGCTAATACCAACTGCTCCATCGACAACGACGGCTACCATGGCCACCAAGACACTTCGAAACAGACTTGGGTGCAAACAACTGAATTGATAGTATTGAAATTCGAGAGTTTCATATCCTGAGAGGCCACGACCAGATGTTTTTACGCTGGAAGCAGAGAATGCCAAGTGAAGCTCTTGGTGCAGGGCGTGTGGGTGCCGGGCTCGAACTCAACCCCCTGGCATCAACGATGCACATCAGAATAAGCTTCTTCTTGGCAGTCCTGACTGTTGGTTGCGGGGCGTCTGTCGTGCAGTACGGGAAACCGATGATGGTAATGATGACGATGACGACGATGATGACAAAGATGATGGTCATGATGACGATGATGGTGACGATGGCGATGATGCTGATGATGATGATGATGACGACGATGATGATGCTGGTGCTCGTGTTAATGCTAACGGCTAACGTTGATGCTGACACAGACGATGGCGCTGACGATGCTGATGATGCTGGTGAGGATGTTGATGATGATGATGATGACGATGATGAAGAAGCAGAAGAAGATGATGATGATGATGATGATGATGATGATGACGGTGATGATGGTGATGATGATGGTGGTGATGATGACGACGATGATGACAACGATGATGCTGATGATGATGATGGTGATATGATCATCATCATCATGATGGTGATTGTGATGATATGCGAAGATGACGACGGCTGTCATGATCGTGCTGGACATGCTTTCGTCGGTCAGACATTTCCGAATTCAACCAATGCAACAATTCTGATGCTGGCTGATGCTATGGTGGTGGTGGCTGCTGCTGCTGCTGTTGCTGCTGGCGCTGCTGCCGTTGCTGCTGGCGCTGCAGCTTTTGCTGCTGCTGCTGCTGCTGCTGCTGCTGCTGCCGGTGCTGGTGCTGGTGCTCTGGTGCCGGTTCGACGACCACGACGACGATGACGACAAAGACGACCTCGCCAACGACTACCCGTACGACCACAAAAACAACCACACCGGACGACGAGTAAGAGATAGTAGGGGCACTGCATCGGCTCCTCTGGGTAAACATGTTCGGAAACTTTGCACCCGGCAAGGGCTCAGATGTTGCTGCAGAGGCGACGAGGTCAGCGCAGCAAGTAGCAGGAAGGAGGGCGGCTTGAGGATTGCAGTTGGGGAGGTGCCGCCGACGGTAGGACAGGTGAGTTGAGCTCCGCACCTGATCTTCCAGGTTCCTTCGAAGGGATTCGAAATACCTGAGCCGCATTGGTCCGAAAACCAGCTTCGGAGAAGGGAAGCGGGGCCGTCGTGCAGAACATTGGAAGATCAAGCATGGTGCATGCTGTTTTGCTCAGATCTGTCAGGTTTTCTATCTGCGACTGGCCATGTGAGGAATGCTAGTAGTGCTGTGCTTCGTACTGCGCTATGCACAATGACGCGATGCTCAATAACTCGGTGCGTCCGGGCGGCGGCTTGGTGCATCCATCCAGCTGTGGGCCATTCTCTACGCGATGAATCGCACGAACTTGCCTGCAGCTCTCGCCAAGACCCCGAAATCCAAGAGACTGGGGAGCACGAGAGTTGCCGCGACTCTGTAGATTGCAAGCTTTCGGCCATGCTGAGCTCTCGACACCTGATCCCAGGTCGCCTGGGCAGTTTACGAAGCGGTTGGGGGATGAATCATGAAGGCCTCGCTTCTTGCTTCCAGGATGAATGCACCAACTGTCATCTCTCTCGTCTTCTCAGCTGCATGTGAAGCCGCCCTGAAACCTCCTGACAAACGCTACCTTCGATCCGTATGTGAGGTAGACGACTCCTTGCGTGATCAGTGCTGCGCCTGCGGCGTCACGGAGTACACAGGCGGCTCCTGCAGCTGTGGAAACCGAAGATGTTTACACGTCTAGTTTGGACTTCGCTCAAAACAAAGAAACCTTAATTACTCAGAACACTCCTAAGTCCCAGTGACCTAGTGGCCCTCGCCAACATCAGGGCTATATCATCTCCGCGGCCGACAACTACCGTCTGAAGCCTTTCTCGCTAGACTTGCATTTCAGATCTTGAAGCCTGGGGTTAGACTGTAGGGACCACCACTACCACTGCTTGTGACAGCAATTGCTTGTCATTGTCTCTACAAGTTGCTTGTCTCGCACAAACAACCTGGCGGGTCAGCGACAGCAAACACTGAAAAACTATCCCAACTCCTACTGTAGCGCACGGACAGATACTCGTGAAACGTATGGGCCCCTGAGCGCTTCCGTTTCGGTGGAGATGTCCTACCACCTAATTTGGCCATTACCCTGCGGTCCTTAGGAGTCGCCCGGAACATGGCCATGACGTGCGCAAACTCCTCGGTGCCAGGAAGCACCTGCCCGAAGTTCCCGCTGTCACCGAAGGATGCGTCATAGCTACATACAGGTGTATACATCTAAATGGGTACAGATATGTGTATAACAGGTGCATGCACATACTCACACATATGTTTAGATATATTAATATGAATATACATATAATATATGTACATATTATATAAACAGATAAACGGATACATGAATAAACGGGTAGAGCTACACATGTATAAGGAATTCAAGAAGCATGTTTGGCATGTCATCTTCTCTTCAGAACCGACAAGCCTCTATCAGCTTCTCTTCGTCCATGCCCCGCGTCGCCTCGCTCTGTTTTGCGGCAGGGAGCTTGGCTTCTTCAGTTCGATTAGGGTTTTAAGCTCCAAAACGAAGGCTCAGCTGGGCTCAGGGGGGGAAGGAGTCTGAGGAGCTCGCCCATCTCTTGCGGAGCAGCTCCGGGCTATGTCCTGGATCGGCGGCCATGTCAGAAATATGCCGAGAGGAAGTAATGCAGCCTGCCGATGTGCTCTACTACACTTCCTGAAAACCACCTGTGTCTACATGTGTACACAGAAAAAGATGCTGGGGTATATGTATCAGATAAGCTTTAGATACTCATGGGTGTACATATATGACAGCTTCATAGACAGGTAGCTCGTAGATAGATAGACGGATAGGTAGATAGATACACAGACAGCGAGCGAGCGAGAGATAGATAGATAGATATAGATCCATCCATCCATCCATCCATCCATCCATCCATCCATCCATCCATCCGAGCAGGCATGCACGCATACCTAGATACCCACGTTGACCTACATACCTGCGCACACAAACACAAACGGATAGGCTGCATGTACAGAGTTACAAATTCAGCGATGCACATGCAGAAGCCCTGAACGCAGTGGATGCCCCTAAGCCCCGGGCCCAGCCACTGTTCCGCCTGCTGGCGTTCATCCGAGAGCCGCTCCCGCCAGGAGCGAAGCATGTGCGCCTCTGCCCAGGGTGCAGGACGCTGAAACTGATGATGATAATGATGATGATGATAATGGTGGCAGCGGTGGTGGTAGTGGTGGTGGTGGTGCTGGTGGCGAAAACGACGATGATGGCCATGATTATTCCTAAACAATTGGGGATCAACACTGGTGACACTGGTACCGGTGAGAGCTGTCGCGCTTCTTGTCATTGAGTAATTGCTCATCCATTGTGAAACGCGTGATTAGGTTTGATTCCCACTTGTAAGTTCACAGTTGCGCTGGCATGATTTGGGCAGTTGAATCTTCAATGTTTTCAGGAGGAGTACTGTTTAGTGTTTAGGCCATCGAGGCTCAAGCTGTAGTCTCTTCTACTTGCACTAGATCGTGCTACACTTCACCCCGATGCTGAATCCCTTCTAATCAAAGCCAGCCTGAGATCGCAAGAAAGTGCAGATGGAGGCACTTGCCCATGCGCAGATTGTCTTCAAGGACTACGGGGACAGTGTAAAAAGAAAAGGGAGCCTGCCACCTTAGGCGCCATGGAGAACTGTCCCGATCCCCAAACTCAAAGGCAACACGGCAACACTATGCACTTCGTAACCCAAGTTCAATCGTATCGAATCCCGAAACGAACTGTAACGAAAATTACACCGAAGCCACAATCGCCTCACACCCTTCAGCCATGCTATAAAAACTAAACCAAAAACCCCAGAGCCCAACTCTGAACCCTACCCTCTATGCCTCAACCCCAAGCCCTGCTGTCGACTTTCTTCGCTGGCCCAGGGCCTCTGGTCCGTCGGCGCACAAGGTGGCGTCGATCAGACGAGGAAGACAGTCTCGGAAAAGCAGGGACCTCGTGTTTTGGGCTCTCGTACAGGGGCGGGGCCTTTATCGTTATGACAGGATGCTGAGCTACATGATAGTCTAGTTGCATATAGGGACTATCATGGTCATGGACACTATTGCTAATTCTTCCGACCACTCCGTTAGGGTTCGGAAGGAAAGCTGCAACGGATCCGAGCCAGCTTCGACGAGGCTCACTGCAGAGTCTGCACTAGGAACAGACCCTGTTTGAGATTTCGGTGTTTTCGTTGAACGCTTTTCCGACTGCAGGCAGACGAAATCAGCTTTTGGACCCTATGGTTTGGTTTCGATCTCGACATCGAGGAGCAGCAGACTTGATCATCATCAAGGTCATCATCATCGTCGTCATGGTCAACACCTCACATCCTCGGTACTAATCGGTGAATAAGCTGTGAGGGTGTGATTTTCAGCATCACTGCGGCGACTCCGACAGTCAATCACTGCGTCTCGGCCCGCCGCTCCATGTTGTGGCGGTCGCCGATGCGCGTACGCTGTCCAGAGGCCATAGGTCCGCTGTTGGCGACATAGTACCTCTCATGATGTCCAGAGATCCCAATACCCTTTCATCAAGGAGTAGACCTTAAACTGTAGGGGGCTTAATATTGTGACTTAAGGTATAATCTAATTAAGGGGTATTGCGACTCACGGTGCTTCAGCGGCCTTCAGGCTTTTGGGGATCTTCGGGCTTCAAGCCTTCGGCTTGAGGCTTCCAGGCTCTCGGGGTGTAGTCACTGCAGATAGCTGGGAATTTCTGAAGATTAGGGGGTACCTTGTCTTGGGGTCCTTAGAATAGGATCCTACTGTTTAGGGTTACTATATTAGGGCCCCCCCTATTTTTCGGAAACTCCCAATAGGGATCTATAGTACATAATATTCGGCTCCCTTATTATAGTAGTAACTTAAACTAAATCCTATACCCTTAAAGGAACTCCCGGATAGCTCCCTCTCCGAGACTCCGGCATGAAGCACTTGTTGTCCGTACCCGTGGAGATCAGCCGCTCGAGATCGGCTCGCGAAGTCGGGTAGACCTCCAGAGGGTTTTGGGGAGGGGTTCAGGGGTTTAGGGTTTAGGGTTCAGGGCCTAGTTCAGGGTTTACGGAGACGATTGAAGAGCCCAAAGAGGAACAGAAAAAATCCAAAGGCTGCGCTATTCTGGCATAGCGTGGCGTACTTCAACGGTATAAAACACGATAGTAGACTCTTCTCTTCAACAAAATCTTCACCAAGGATGTATAAGGCACACAGGTTCATGATTTAGGTCATCGGCGCCTCATCATTTCCTCCCTGCGCGAGCACGACTGGCACTCCCTGCGCTGCGGGCCACAGGCTCAGCTTCTACACCGCTGCAGGCTTGCAGGGCCAAGGCTGTTTTGTGGCAAACCCCGGCCCCGCTCCGGCCATCATTGAAACCCTAAGCCCTAAACCCGGGCTATCTGCAGCTATTCAGACCCTGAACACCTGTCCTGCGGCATCTCTTTGCAGGACGGGTGGGCATTGATCAAGAGGCTGGGACCACGCCAGAGGCCGGTCTGGCAGCATCGCTGAAGAATCTTTGTCGCTTTGGGGCTTCGGAGCTTAGGCAAGTTTGGGGTTTGCAATGGCAATGGCTGACCTGTTCAGGACTTTGGGGGCTTTCGTTTTTTCAGAAGGAAGCTCGAAACCCCAAGACACCGGGCAGCGAAGCCCAAATCTCGAACACAAATAAGCTCAGACGCGACATGCCCCGACTCCAAACCCGAATCGTGCCAGGCGGAAACCTGCCACAGTCCGATGAGGTAGACACCTATCCGGAGGCATTTGAGGCTCGGTTCCCGTTCAAGTGGAGGGTTCCGGGGTTTAGAGTTGAGGCCAAGATGCGAAAGCAAAACCTTGCAGCTTAAAACACTCGGGCGCTGGGGCGCGGAAGCTTGTTTCTTAGAGTGAGCGTGCCCCGCATGTTCACACTTCTTCGTTCCGGGCCGCAGCAAGTATTCAAGGACTAGGACCCAGGGCCTACGATTGCCAATTTCGTGGAACTGTCTTACTCACGCTAGGTTCTTTCGCGAGCCTGAAACGTTTTACAACGCTCTTCAATGTCACTCAAACCCTGCTCGGCCACCTCCTTTCGATGCTGCACAAACCACGTCTGGACCGAAAGCATCCATTTCTTCCTGCAAAGCATCAGGGCTCGCCTTGAGATTTAAAGTTGGGGGTTCAACTCTGAGGGTTTGTTCAAAAAAGGCTTTGGGTCTTCACAAAGACAAGCAAAGAGGCTTGTAGAAGAACAGACGGGTCTGCTGCGTGACATCTCTAAATTCCGAACCTCAGCCCTGAGCCCTGCAAAATGCCCAAGCTCTTTGTGTCCTTGATGTGGTCCAGATACTGCTGCACCGGGAAGTTCGGCGTCTCCGGATTTGGGATTCCGTGGCAGAAGTGCGCCTTCACTCACGGCTTGCTGTTCTGTCCCCCAAAACACATTTCGAAAGGACAGGAGAGACAGCAAGATTTGGTTCATCGTGCACTGGAAGCCGTGGGAACAAGGGATCCGAAAGTCCTGGCGCTGTGCCCGAGAACCATCATCATCAACTCCTGTTGAAGTGAATACCTCTCCTCAGACCTTTCCGCACCTTTCCAAGCAACAAAACCCCAAAGCCATACACTTACCTTGGGTTAGTAGGGAATGAAGGAATGGGGTACGATTCTAACTACTATTACGACCATTCTTCCATTCCCTACAAACCAAAGGTAAGCACACGGACCATGACTCACCAACGCCCCATCTGCCTGGTAGCCGGCGTTGGTTATCATGGCCGACTGTCTCGGGTTCAGCTGCTGCCCGAAGCCTTTCATCATTAGGGTTTAGGGTTTAGGAACCCCAAACCCGAAACCAACAGAGTCCTACAACCCCGAAATTGCAGGCAGCAATGAAAACCCTGATCATGGAACGAAGACCAGTAGTAGCCCTGCACCTGTACCAGTAACAACCAGTTGTATGTAAGATCATCATAATTCTAAGGTACATTGCTACTGCGTGCCATCCTATCATTTGATTGGCTCTGCTCGGCAACTGTTCAGAGTTCAATGACCACGATCGAAACTAATGTTACGTTGATTACCGTTAGTACTACTACTCCTAGTACGAATACTCCTCATCGTCCTCCTCCTCCTGCTACTACTACTGTTACTACTGCAACTGCTCCTGCTACTGCTACTTCAGCTACAGTACTGTTACTACTACGATTACTACCATTACAACTTGCTATTCCCACTGTAACTACTGCAACTGCCGTACTTACTGCCAGTTGCTACTTCTTAGCTTACCGCTATGGCGATGCCCTTCGTCCTGTACGTGCACGGTAGCCGGCCTGGCCCGATGATGAAAACCCGCGTGCCCTCGCGGCAGATCGGTCGGGCTGCTTGCACGGAGATGACCTCTTCAGGGCTGGGTTTGGGCTTAGGGTCCAGGGCTTCGGGTTAGAGTTCAGGGTTTAGGGTCTAGTATTCAATCAGGGTTCAAGAGGGTGGCAATGGGATCCCTCTATGGGGTACCTAGCTTACGGGTCCTTGCAGTAAGCACAGGGTCGATGGTCGGGTCCAACTTTTCTGAACTCTCGAGAACAGCGTCCCATCTCCCTCCAAGGCATGATCTCCCCTTAAACCCTAAACCCTAAACCCCTAAACCCTAAACCGTACCCCTAAACCCTAAACCCCTTAACCCTAAACCCTAAACCCCTAAACCCCTAAACCCTAAACCCTTAAACCAAACCTAAACCCTTAAACCCCTAAACCCCTAAACCCTGAACCCTAAAGCCCTAAAGCCCTTCAGATTTGGGGCTGGCTGGGCTTTGGGGCTTGGGAGGTTCGGGGTTTATGGTTGGGTTTGAGCCTCTGTGGGCTTGGGGATTTGGGGTTTAAGGGTTTACGGGTTTAGGGTTTAGGGGTTTAGGGGTTTAGGGTTTAGGGTTTAGGGGTTTAGGGTTTAAGGGCTGCTGCTTCAAGAGGTTGGGGCTTTGTTGGGTCCGGGACTTACAAGACACCTCGCCCCAAACAACTATAGAACCATTTCGCCAACTCGGCGCCCAAATCTTATTGCCAAATATCAAGCCAAAAATTTCCGAAACTTTATTCCCGAAATCCTATTCCCAAAATCCCCGTTATTCCTTAGCCCAAAATCTTAGCCTAAAATCTCCGTAAATCTATTTTACTAAAATTCCAGGCAGGCCGCGAACCGAACCGCAAACCGGAACCGAAACGCCAGGAACCGTCCACCCTTGTGACCCGCAAAAACCGCGAACCGTTGAACCGACACACAAAATCGAACCGCGCGAACCGAACCGCATTTCACTCCGTCCATCCCTCCATCCAGCCGCCCTCCATCCAGCCCTCCAGGCACTCCCCTCTAGCCCTCCTCCATGCAACCCTCCATCCAGCTCCTACAGCCTCCCATCCACCCAACCCTCCATCCACCAACACCCAGCCTTTTGTGATTCCCTAGCCCTTACCCTCCATCCAGCTCCTGAGTGCTCCAGCCCTCCATCCATCCACCAGCTCTCCATCCAGCCTTGTGCTCCAGCCCTCCATCCACACCAGCCCTGGCCCTGAATCCAGCCAGCCCCCCTTCCAACGATCCAACCCTCCACCCAGCCAACCCACCCTGCATCCAGCCCTCCGAGCCTCCATCCACAGGGGCTGGCTGGATGGAGGGCTTCAGGAGGGATGGGTGGAGGCTGGTGGAGGGGGGTTGGCTGGATGGAGGGCTGGTGGATGAAGGGAGGGGGGTTGGTGGATCGGGGCTCATAGAAGGCTGCGGATGGAGGGCGGGTTGGGTGGATGGAGGGTTGGGGGGGATGATTGGATGAAGGGCTGGATGGAGGGTGTCTGGATGGAGGGGGTTCTAAGATTTGGGCGCCGAGTTGGCGAAATGGTTCCGTATTGGTTTGGGGCGAGGTGTCTTGTAAGTCTGGGAGGAGGCGCTGAGTGCACGCAAAGACTCTAACCCCAAAGCACTTTACCAAAAGGTCCTCAAACCCCAACCCTTCCTGAAGGCCAAAACACTACGCCTAAATTCCTGAACCCCAATCGCTAAACCCCTAAGCCCTGAACCGCTTGAGCCTTCTTGAAGTAGGCTTTGAAATCGGCAAAGTCGATCCGCCGCTTGCCACCAGCGATGGTCTGCAGAACAGAGCGCCAACACATGGTTTGGGTTGTGGTGGGGCTTAGGGTATAGGGATGGGACTTCTGTCTGCACGTTTAGGGCTTGGTAGAGGGTTTTAGGGGTGTAGGGCCGTGTAGGGTTCGGGTTCCCCTGCTTTGTCCTCAAGCTCCATGCAGCGGGAACCTCACCATAAGCTTCTGCATCAAGCATTGCCCGGCCCGTAATCTGAAATCCCAAACCCAAAGCCTCCAAATACTAAACCACACGCTCTGACCCTGAAGACTAAGCCCCCACAGCACCCTAACCGTTTAGACATCCCCTTTAGTATCATCCAAACCAGCCCAAGGCCCCTGGCAAGCCTGGAAGAGGCTGTTGATCGCGTCGAAAGTTGCTTCGCTCTCCATGACATGGTCAGCACCTAGAGGATGGATGAAGCCGTTGGGTAGTTCATGGTCAGCGGTTTGGAGGTGGTGCCGCAGGGTGTAGAGTTTAGAGCTTTATGATTCAGGGCTTGGGATCTTACTGTTGTGGTGCTGTGCTCTTGCGCTTATGATTTAGGCCTGGGCTCAGGGATGATGGCACTCCCAGGCCAGCAGCTAAAGAGTCCCATTGTCTTAATTCGGAGGGTTCCTGTATGCAACAAGTATCCAGCCGTTTCCCCGGATGGATCCAGCCGTTAAAAAGGCGTTGTAACTAAAGAACCACGATTGGTCTACACATGATCCGCCCCTCGCTCTGAGTATGCAGGTGGCATGAAAGAGCTGTCTGGAAACTTTCGGCGGCGAAACTGGGCCCACGCGGGACGTTCAATGCACTGACGCTTCAAGTGAGGTTTGCGACGTGCCCGGACGGAAGGGACGGAAGGGACGGCTGCGCTCGTGCCGCGACTCGTAAGCCAAAACCTCCCAAGGCCCGAACCCCAAATCTGAACCCGAAGCTCACGAAAGCGCTGAGCGTGGCGCCGTCCAAGTTCGGAAGAAGAAAGTCCGCCACTTCCTTGTTGGCCTGGCTGCAAGCCCGCAATGTGAGCAGAATAGAGTTGTGAGGCGGTCTTCCCTCACATCGGGAGGTTTAGGAACACTAGTGCAAGTTGATTCCCGTGGGCATGAGAGTGTAAGCGTTAAGCCGTATGGCCAAGCTTCAAGCGATGGTTGGCTTAGCGGCTGCTGGTCTCAAAAGCGCACTGCGTTTTCGGATTATGAGAGCTGATATTGCTACTGCTGCTACTACAAATTCCTGTGGAATCTCTGATGAGACATGGCAGTGCCGCAAGAGTAACTAACAACCACCCTGTTTGCTGTCATCTATTGGCGGATCACTTTGATACCGCAGAATCAGGCCAACTTCGTGCTGAGGGAGTAGGGCTTCCATAGAACCGGCCGCGTCCTTCCGGGGCTGAGGCTCTTGTCTTGGGCCTAGAAAGAATGCGAGGACACGATATGTGGAAGCAGCTTCCGAAGTAAGCTTCTCATCGAGCTCCGGAACAACCCAAACCCTCGCCTGCACCGCTGCAATGATCTCCAGCTTGGATATGGAGCCGCTTTTGTCGGCATCGATGAGGTCGTAAAACTTTCGCCTCGGGCTGAATCCGACTCTGTTGCGCCACCAAAGTCAAGAAGCCATGCACTGGGGCAGAGTGCAGTTCGTCTGTGTTGTCCATCTTGTTCGTGCTCGCCTCGCAACAGAGCAAACAAGAAACGGACCCTAAGCCCTTCGACACATACTGCCGCTGAGCCATCTTGACTCTGAATTCTCGCAAGCTGCGCCTCCTTCTGAAAGTGCGCCGCCAAGTCCGTGTACTTGATGCGCTGCCTGCTCAAGCGGTCCAACGGAAGCAGCTTCGTCTTCTGAAAGTACCAGCAACTTCCTTGAACCCTAAAGCCAAAACCTCTCATCAAAAGCCCTCAACCCGACATCGGAAACCCAGTCCGAGATCTGAGAAGCTCGCTTCCCAGCAGCTATCTGATCAAAGATTGCATCCACGGCATCGAAGGTCTCTTCGTCGCTTCGATCTGAGGAGCTGAAGGATCAAAAGGGTTTAGGGTTTAGGGGCTTGGTGGTTTAGGGTTTAGGGTTTGGGGTGTAGGGGATACAGAAGAACCCACATGGAAGGTTTACTTCTCTATCTCTACACCTATATATCCCTGTCATAAATAGACATATGTATGTAGCTCTGCGTGTGTAGGACAATTAGCCAAAAAAACGCAACCCTGTATGACCTGATTGCAGGCCTTAACTTGAATTCAACCTGCACCCTCATCATTCTCTAAAACCCAACGAGAAAATGTTCCACGCAAGGAAACTTCCTGCTGGAATACTAGCAGACACTTGGACAACTACCCAATACCCTGATGTCAAAACGAGTAAAACAACTGCGCCGAAAAGCCATGCAGTTTGGTGCTATGGCCACTCCGCAAAAACCGTCACTGTGAGAACTGTCCAACTTGTGTTTGTTGTCGTGGACACGGTGACATCCTCTTCGCTGCGGAGATCCCACGCAGAGGGGATGAGACTTCATGTAAGCTGGTCTCGATCAAAGCCACGCGACCACAAGGAAACCGGCTCCTTGTCTAAGAAACAGCGTGGAGTGGCAAGCCGGAACGAGAACATCCTGGGGGCCATGCGTTCTGCGTCCTGGTCTGGGAGCACAAATGCTGCGACCTGGCAGATCTCCCAATAAGGAAGCTGGACTTGATTTAGGGCTGTAGGGTTGAGGGGTGTAGGGTTCGGGGGGTTAGGGTTTAGGGTTTAGGGGTCTGGGGTGTAGATTGTAGGTGGTAGAAAGTTGAGTCTAAGCCGGCTGAACACGTTCTTGCCTGCTGTGGTTTCGCATGGCCCCTGGATGCGGCAACAGAGCGCCGGCTCGGGTGCTTCCGGTAGCAGACCACCGCAAGCCACTCTTCGGGTTCAGGCCAGTGCTGCTTCGATATGGTGTGGCAGTATGCCATGACAAGAGCTCACGAAATATAAGAAAATCTTAAGACAGCATAACACCGTCGAGTAGCTTCTTTACACAGGAAGCACGCGAACACCTATTGACCTTGGCCAACATGACAGACTGATGATCGCACGCTGAGCTCAGGACCGTTGCATCCCTCTGGACGGCTGCGATCAATTCCAGTTTCGAGATGCAGCCGTTGTGATCGGTCTCGGGCGAAACGGAACTCTTGCACCAGAAACTGTTCACTCCTATCTGGTACATCCCACACTTAGCCCTAAAGCGGATCCACACGAGACTCTTGGGGCGCATGCAGCGATGTGTTTGAAGAAGACTGCGCATGGAGGATGTCCGGTTTGAACATTGTGAGTTTGCCACACCAACCTTTCAGACGAACCTCGCAACCCGCATACAAGAAGGACGACAATGAAGGAACCTATACATTATTCATATAATGACTCCTATCCCTCAGGGCTTAACCGTGAGCCCTAACCCCTAAACCCTACACCCCTAAACCCTAAAACCCTAACCCCTAAACCCTATACCCCTAAACCCCTAAACCCTAAACCAACCCTAAACCCTTCTGTGCCGGGCTGAGCGTCGGACATCGATTCTTTGGCAAATCTCCCGCACCTCGGCCTGGGCACGCACGGACAAGTCCGCTGATTCATGGTGGCATGCATATCTTTCTACACACCCCTGCATCTTGGCATGGATATAATGTAGATGTACATGTGTATATCTGGACATGAGTATATTCTCATTTATTTGTACACACGTGCAAACAGACGGACACAAACTGACATACATGTACATAGACCTGCAAGCTTACAGAAAAGATCTGTGACGAGCTCAGCTTCCGTCGTCCATCTCCTCCACCGCCTGAGCTTAGGTCGAGGCGGCCATAACCTCATAACCGTACAGACTTAAGCCCTCAAAAAAGCATCTGAAGCATGACGCCGTAATCCTGAACCCTAAACCCTAAACTCTGAACCATAAACCCCTAAACCCTGAACCCGAAACCCTAATTCCTGAACCCCGCTTCCGGCCAGCCTTGAAGATGCCGGAAGGATCTCGACCTGATGCGCCACGCCAGCAAAGCCCGTTTTGGGATTCGTTGCTTTAGGTTTCGCTCTAAGACTTCTGGGTTGGTGGGTATGTTATTACAGTAATTAAGAAATAACAATAAAAATAGTACTAATAGTAATGCTAGTTGTAATAATAGAGATAACGATAATACTCGTACTGATATTAATAACAGTAATAATCACAATTGTAAGTAAATAAAAACATGAGTATTTTCCGGGTGAAGCTCCCAGACTGGGGCAGCCGACTCGATGACACCCGGGACATGTAGGTCCCGTCGGAGGACACCTGGCACAGCAACAGTTCTGTGACCTTTTAAGGCCCCGGCTACTAGGGTTTAAAGTTCAGGGTTTGGGGTTTGTATGACATCTCCTTGCACCTTCTAGAGGAGTAGAAAGCAAGAAACAGGCCGAACCCAAATCACCTCCGGAACTCCACCTTTAAGATAGTGATTCAAAATTGAGTATCGCGGTTGGCATTTGATTGAGACAGCTACCGTCGCATCAGTCTTGACATAAGTCTTCGAGTGGTAGCGGTTTTCGTTGGCATCGTTTTACTAGAGCGCGCGTTGTCCTCTGCATACTTCATCCACGAAGGAGCCTCATGGTACACTTGCAGTGGCATATGCACATGTCTGCCATGGAGTTCCGAGCACCCCTGAGGTGAGTGTAGGTTTGTGCGATGTTTTTCGCTCTGAGCACGCAGCCAGCCCGGCGGGACAGTGACAGTGTAGGACAGGGTAAGAGAACAAGCCGCGCGCATGTTCTTAAAGGCAGCGTACGATCCCAAACCCTGTTTCCCTCGGCTAGAGCCGTGACCGATCTTAAACACGTTTTCAGCCCGCCCCAGCTCAGGCCTTCGACATGCTGTCGGAAGGAACCTCACTCTGAGGCTCTTGCCACGGGCACTTGACAACACGATCTACAATTTGGTGCCTAGGGTTTACTAAATTAGCCATATACATATGCATCTATACATGTGTATACATATATATATATATATATGTGTTTATATATATATATATACATATATATATATATGTATATCGGCCTGTGTGTCTGTCTGCGTGCCCGTTTGCTTGCCTGCTGCCTGCCTTCCTGTCTGCCTGCTTCAGGCCGGACTGGCTGGCTGTCTGCCTGTGTGTATGTAGGGATGTACGTATGGATGGATGTATGGATGTGAGCATATATATATATATATATATATATATATATATAGGGAAGGGGAAACCCGGTAGGCCCCCTCTTGGCTGTTTCAAGTGACATGGAACTCGCTCCCCTTGGCTCCCTTGGTGAAACAAACGCAGAGAAGTTGACATGCTACTACACCAGGTGCCCTAGACCTCGTGATTCAAGAATGCCTTTGAGGCGGTCTACTTCATGGCTGAGCAAAGCATTCTGCTCTTCTACGTCCTGAGCTCGGCCTATGACAGCCTCTAGTTCTACGATATGTTCAAGCAGCGCAACAGGAGACCTCGTGCGTGCACGCTTACGCCTGTGCTGGACTTTGACCGGCTCAGGAGAGGTTGATGATGATGACGATGAGGAACGCGATCGCGGAGCCGAACTCTTTGGGGTTTCATCTGCTTTCACGCTGGTGTCTGCGATGGCGAGTGTACTTGCAGCTCTGCTACGACATGGCTTGGCCAACCAGTTGTTTAACAACACCGTAGCTTTTGCAGACCATCCACCCGTAGCGGAAGTCTCAAGACGGAGCTGTCGCTGTATGTTGCTAATCTGCATCTGCAGGGCTCGCGTTGTGAGATTCTCTCTGGAGGGATCCACAAACTGTACTTTACTTTGAATATCACGGAGCAGCTGCTTAGCATTCGGTGGCTTCGTCTGGGTAGAGGAGCTGGTGGAAGGCTCCTGCACTGGCTGCAGTTCTAGCAGCACCTTACCACGACCAGCCGAACGCACATGTCCAACGACCGGGAGCGAGGCCATAGGAGCAAGCAGACTACTCAGTACTGAAACACTTGAGCTGTAGAAGTGCACACGTGGAAAGGTACATGTTCAAAGGTACGTAACCGTGCAGACTTCATGATACACATGCTAGCATGTAGGGCATGCACGCACACACCGTGGTTTTCCGCGTGATCGCATCATGAGCTCTCTCGGGGTTCTCGCAGCAGTCCAGAACATCAAAATTTGGCAGTCTTGCCGGCGTTCCAAACACGGTAGCTCCTACCTACGGCTGCTTGGCCGCTTGCGAATGGCGGCAGGCTTCTTCATCATGCGAGCCTTGACATTGCGGCGTCCCCGCGGTCGTGCTACGAATGTGGGCAGAGGAGCAAGATTCGTGTTATAAAACAGGCAGGCTTCCTCAATCCAGAATGCATGGCTGTGGGGCCGAAGCGAATTGACGAAAAAATTCAGGGCGCGGATCCAAGCATTGAAGCTTTCGGACATGTTTGTCCGGACCCTGTTGCAGCGTCGCTTCTGCGACACGGTCAATTCCCGCTTGCTGCATTTGTGGTTGCGGCGGTGAAAGGCATCCACTATGAAGTGTTTGACACTAGGGAAACTGTCAGGATGATGCTTCCGGACATAGGCCTCCAAGTGACACGCGTCGTCATGGATCAGGACGTCAGGAACACATTGCGGATCTGCAAAAAGTCCACGCAACAAGCGAACCTTGTCTCCATGAGACTCACTGGCTTTGTGCTCCAAAGCCGCCAAGACCTTTCTGGACGAAGGGTCCACTGCGAACTGCCATCCCGCAGTCCGCTGTGGCAGTGCCAAGTGGAGAGAATCCTTTCTGGCACAGCTACACGATCGCTCATCCTCACGAAGAGCTTTCCGTGGTCGTCCTGGCAATTGCTTGGTCCGGGGAGGGTCGACACCTGGAAGAAGATGACGATGCAAGCCGAAATTCCCATCCATGGCCACCTCTCGCACGCCGTTCATGGGATGGAAAAGCAAAGGCTGACTGCGGCTAAGTCGGACTACCTCCTTGGCCGGATAGTCGACGTTGAAGGAGACAACCTGGTCAGGTGTTCGCTTCGCCACAGCATAAGCCTCGAGAGCACGCAAAAGGCAATCACGGAAGGTTCGATGATCTGGAAGATCGTCATGTCCTTGATGAAGAAGAACTCGGACCGCAGCCTCCTGTCCTGGGGATGTTTTCGCGCGAAGAAGACGAAGATAGCAAAGTTCGAGGTAGGACATGGTGAATGCTGTCTTGGTGGTCACGAAATACACACCAGCTGCTTTCATTTGATTGAAGGAGAGAACGTTGATCTTTTCTCCGGCGATCCGCATGTAGTTGTGACGAACGTAAACCCGACAGCCCTTTCGGACACAACGACTGACACGAGTGCTCGTCTTGGATAAAGATTCACTCCCGATGAGGACGCCCTTGCTGACGTCGCGAGGGCCCGTGATGGTCTTGACGAGTGACCCAGAGCAACTAGGACACGTGCGGCGAGGAAAAGCACGTGCGACCTTCACCATGGCTGAAGCAAGAAGTACAGCGGGCGGCTAGTTCGACTACAACACGCGATGTTTGGACACGGCTGTATATGCAACATTTGATGAGGCCAGGCACGAGCGAGACAGCAGACATGCAGACAAGGACGTCCTTTTGCCCTATGTGCACGCACGCAGGAAGCAGGGTCTGACTGAGGATGCGGTCTACCAAAATTTGTCGGGCCCCCATCATGTGCGACTACGCGGCTACGGAGCAATGTTTTGCCATCATGAGCATTACCGATTTATTCTAGAGGGTCTTCTTTTGAAGAGAGGGCCAGGGCATAGCATGACGGCAGTGACAAAACTACGCGATACCTCAGCAAAGCTCAGTTGTCGTGCTCACCGAGGTCGAAGCCATTGCCCAGGACATCCGCCTCATCCTCAGTGACAACATCCATGTCGTCACTGATCATGTTCTCGGGGTTGGGCACGGCGGTAGACGGGAGAGCTGCCTTCGTGCGGTCGGGGGAGTCGAGATCGATGGCGCTGTTGGAAGCTTTCAACTCCAAGGCCCAAATCTTTGCCTTCTTGCTGGCTTCCTCTTGCTCCACCCGCTCGCGTTTGATGATGGGGGCAGCGGCGACCGCATCCCTTGTAGATGACTTGTGAAGATCATCAACCTGACGATAGATGGGCCGGGAGCGGGATGATGCAGGTTCTGGACCCCAGAGACCACGACGGATGGCCTGTCGAGCTTTGTAGTCGGGACGCCTCTCATCGAAGCGCTTCTCCATAACCTTGGTCACCCAGTCTTGTTCACGACGAACCTGTGCGGCATGGTCGGGGGGGAAGGCCCGGGTGCCGTCCTTGAAGGTGCCGTAGAGGGTGCGCCCCTTTTCGGTGAGATATTCAGGGCGCTCTATGTTTACACGGGGGACAGGATCCTCGTTGATGCCGGCCTTGCGGAAGTAGACATGTGTGGGACTGTTCACCAGGAAGACAGTGCGCTTGAAGATAGCGTCCATATGTGCCTTCGAAACTTCGGAATTGAAGGCTGGACGGATACACTTCGCGAACTTGTCGAAAGAGATGGATGAGACGAAATCGAATTCGTCGGGAAGTTCCATGGGCTCGTAGGTATTGTCGGCCACCGCTCGTGGCTGATTCTGTACCCACTTGACAGCTCCCCAACGAGCCCATGCCATGGCCTCGTAGAGCCCCACGTCCAACAGAGACTTCAGCATTTTGGAAGAGAGGATGCTGAGACATGTGTCATCCAGAAAGTCACCCATTGTGATATTACCTTGCTCTCCTCTGAGAAAATCAATTTCAGGCGTACAGCGAATGCACACGGTGGTGCGGGCACCAAAGTGCGCCTTGTTAAACCGGGCCTGTGCCATCAAGATGCTGCGACCCAGTGGTGACTTGCCCGCACCCGCCTCACCCAACATCACGAGGGCGGACGTGTCGAAATCCCACACCTTCTCCAGAAGCTCCAAGACCCATCCATGGTAATAGGTGGACGTAAGGGGGATGGGCCAGTCCATCTCCTTCTTGGCGAGTGAGCCATCTTGGCTCAGGTTCCGGAGCGCCTTCTCAACAAGTGCACCGGGCCAGTTGAAGATAGGCGATTGTGGATTTTGAGGGTTTTTGTCATCCACCGAAGCTGCTGCATTTCTGAAGAGGAGCGCGGTGCATCATGGACAATGAAGTCGAAACCGGCATCGATTTCTTCATCCGTCTTATCCTCGAATCTGTTGGTGGAGGCTTTGGGGGCGCAGAAGGATTGCATCTCGAACATTTTGAACTGCTGACCGCCAAGGCTTTCCAAAGTATACTGAAGGATTTTCTTTCCGACCTTGGCATGGGTGGCTCGCCAACGGTAGATGTAAGCCTTGCCACTTGCTCCTGCCAAGAAGACAGAGGGCTTGCACTTGTCCGGACACGTGAAATGCTTGACGATAATGTTGGAGCCATCTGGACACTCGCACACGAACAACTGAAGCTTGGTGTTGCGAGCAAGAATACCGCGAAACCCAAAGGGCTCCGGTAGCGAAGACAAATCGGAGTTCAAGACAGCGGTTTTGTATGCCTTCGTCAGATCGTTGACATCAATAGTCCCCCGGTAGTCTGTGATGATGTCAAAGAGGTTGACGCTAGGGTTGTCCGTGGACG